ACTTCAATGTACTGAGTTCGAAATGAACAGATAAAAAAATCCATCATTATATCAGTAAACACAGAAGTCATATAATAGATTCAGTAGTGTCTAAGAGCAGCTAGAATTGATTTGCCAAGCAGCAGAGGTCCATTTACATGTTACTTAAGGATGCTGGATATTTGTGGAATTTCCGAGAATGAGGTATTTCTGTACTTAACTTGTAATGTGCTTCAAATTTAATTAATAATAAATTGATAGTTATTACTTAGGAATATATAAAAGGTACTGAACTTTGATGCTTTTGTGCTCAAGGTTTAGTTTAAAGAAATTAGAGATGTAATTGAATGGATCAAAAAGTTGCATATTTAAACACTCATACTGAGAACTATTACTGTTTGAATATCCCCTTTCCTTTAAAATTCATAAAAATTGTTTCTAAATTTAGTAGGTACTTTAAAAAATCCTTTGTGCTCCCCACCCCCAATTTTATATAGTTCAGGTTTTCTCCAAATAACACTGATTTTCATTATAAGGGCATTCATGGTGTATAAAAAAAAGTTAAAATCTAATGTGAATTATATTGCTACTTTTAGCAACTGGGCTTCCTGATTAATATAAAAGTTTTCCATTTTTATCCTTTCACTATGCACTGCAAAGTTCATTAACTTAAAATTTTGTAACTATGAAATTCACTTAGAATTACAACTTCTACTCACTAGTTTAGTTTTGCCAAGATTTTATTTTTCTACATATTTAGATTATGTTCTTCAGTTTTATTCAAAATTCAAAAAGAGAAAATAAAAGCATTAATTCACTTAGCTGAATAAACTACAGAAAATCTGGTTATTTTCAAGCTTAAAGAATTTTTTAATTCTAATATATGGCAAGTTATATAGTAGAGGATGACCAGTCTTCAAAAGTACTGCATAAATTATTCTGTAAAATAATAAACTTGCTATGACTGAAAGTATTGGCTTTCTTTCAGTGGAGGTATTTGAGACTATTCATTTTGCAGATGTGGTTCAAGATGGTGTTCAGGGAACTGGTCCTTTTTGTTAAGTTACCCTCACACTGGTAATGACCCACAAGACCAAGCCAGTTTCCTAGTTTGCAGACCTCATCAGGCTCTTCTATCTTTCATACCCAGTTCTATTGTTAAGACATACAGATTTGTCTTTTCGTAGTGAACATGAAAGATTAGAGATGCGGTTCACCTCTTACCTTCCCTCCTTCCCATCCTGCTCTGAATTGGACCTTCTACACAGTCATGAGAAATTGAGAGATGAAAGAGACTCAAAGACAGATTATTAATAATACTATTAATAATACTTTATAAAAGTGACAGTTCCTAACATCACCAGTACATTGATCTAGGGAATGGGCCATAGGCTTAAAGCAGGTTTACCCGTCAACCCAGTCATCTGTCTTGAGAGAAATTTTGTGTTGTCTTTATTTTTCTGTACTTCCTAGGCAATTGGAAATGAAAATGTAACTGTTTCATCCAGCTGACTTCAACTATCCACATACTACTTCTCCTAAAAACTAAGTAAGGTGTTACATATCTACTCCATTGCCAGACAACATTGCTTTTGTTTGGGGTTAAAAAAAGATCCTAACTAGCAAGCTACTTCTGAACTGAGAAAGCTCCTGATGTATATACTAGGGAGAACTGAATTTCCTTGAATCTGAAAACTCTTATAATTTTTGCGTGCACTGAGCTGTCACTTTAGGAGACTCTGGTTCTTGGAGAACCACATAGATGCTCTTGCTACATTATTATTACATGTTCATTTTTTGAAACAAGGCCTAACTGTGCCCTGCAGCTAGTCATGTTTCCTGCATTGCAGTATTCTGAGTAATCTGATGCCAAACATAGTTTATTGTAGGCTTATGAATCTTAACATTTAATTAAACATTAACATGATCTAGTAAACACTGGAGAAACCAAATAGATCATTTGTTGAAACGTGAAATAAATGTTCTCCTATAACATACCCTACTTCTTAATCTATTGATAGAAATCAAGTTTAAAGTCAACTGGGAATTTGAAATAAATCTAAAAGTGCTAATTCCTAAATTCTAAATGCTCCAAAATTCAACCAAGGAAATGCAATTAAAATGATGATAGTACTTCCTTTAAAGTATTAATTCTATGTCTTTCTTGTGAGCATCCTCTTGGTCCTTGTGATTAACTTGTTTTGTTTTTATTATGCCTTTTTGTTTTGTTTTGTTTTTCCAGACAGGGTTTCTCTGTGGCTTTGGAGCCTGTCCTGGAACTAGCTCTGTAGACCAGGCTGGTCTTGAACTCACAGAGATCCGCCTGCCTTTGCCTCCTGAGTGCTGGGATTAAAGGCGTGCGCCACCACCGCCCGGCTTTTTGGGATTTTTTTGAGACAGGGTTTCTCCTTAGCTTTTTGGTTCCTGTCCTGGAACTAGCTCTTATAGACCAGGCTGGCCTCGAACTCACAGAGATCCGCCTGCCTTTGCCTCCCAAGTGCTGGGATTAAAGGCGTGCGCCACCACCGCCAGGCCTTCATTATGCCTTTCTAAGATGAGACAAATTGAAAAACTATTTTGTAGCATCCATTGCCTGTTGATGGTCCACACTGGGAATATTTTGTCATCAAGAAGTGAAAACAGGTTTGCTGCCAAATATGAGAGAAAAGGGGACAAATAACCAAACAAACCCCCAGCTTTCCCCTGGTGTGCTTAGAGGCCTAGGCTCCCCTACCCACTGTACTATCAATAAACAAATTCAAATTCAGGTTTTATACAATCCTCAAAGGGAGGAGACACTTTTAAGGAGAGGAAATCACCCATTGCCTGTGTCTGTAGTATATTTGGCATATAGAATACTACAAACTATATGTGCATAGGGATATTAACCTTTTTAAACAAAGTGAGGTCTAGAATGCACACAGAAATAGTCAGATGGAAGTTCTACAGGAAGGAGAAATAATGGCATTAAAGGGTACATTCTCTGAGTAGTGGTCTCACCTTTGGGTACACATCAAGAACCAAGGTGACCTTATGAATAGCTCCTGGGAAAACAGCAATTTCGAAAATACACAGAATCTCGTATCCACCTGGTCATTTATCCCATGATAATATGTATACATAAAACCATAGGTCATAACCGCTTTAAATTTTTTATTAGTGTATATTCACTTTACAAAATAACAGGTTTCATTGTGACATTTTCATATGTGCTCTGACATGTCCAGCCAGCCATTACATCCTTCCTCTTTCCAAGTAATCTGCCTTCTACTTTGATGTTTTTTGGTTTGTTTGTTTAATTTGGATCTACATGCAGTATCCACCTGAGTTTCTATTGGTTTAACAAGATCATCTTCAGTTCCATCGTTTTGGCTGCAAATGAGGTAATTTCACTTTTTATGGCTGAATAAAACTGGTTTGTTAATATATACATTTTCTTTGTCCACTTGATAGGTGTCTACACTGATTCCATAACTTGTTTGTAAACAATACCACAATAAACATGAATGTAAAACAATTTTAGTTTTCATAGCCACAAATTAGAAAACACTAAATACCTTCAACAGATGGAAAAAATATTAACACTAAAAGGAAAAACTGATTGAACTTAGTTGTTCTAAGAGGATCTGACTAAGTGAAAAGACACAATCTCAAAAGGTCATATTCTAGAAGATTGCATTTCCTCAAGATTCCTGAAGTGGCAGATTCATAGCATATTAGTTGTAGGATGTGTCAGGAATGTTAGAAGAACTGATGGTGGCTGGGTATGACTATATAGAGCACTAGATGTCTAAGTAAAATACATCTGTATCTAGCCTGTGGTGGTAGTTATAAAATTTGTATAATGAAGTTAATAAGAACTAAACATTAAGTGAGGACATATAAAAGTCATACAATCTGAATGAAGGTCTACAGATCACACTTGTATGTTTCTTAGTTTGGTATTAAACTATAGCTACTTGTCACCCATGGGCAAACAGGAAGAAGGGTATTCAGAACCTGCTTGTACTATATTATATAATTTCTTATGAATCTTAATTATTTTAAAATAAAGATTGTCTGTAAAGCATCAGAAGATAGATTCTCTAATTCATAAAGCCTTTATTATTGGAAAGTATCTCATTTCACAAAATTAACTTTCCAGAAATAATTTCTTGTGTGTGAGTGCTAGGGATTGATTCCATGACTTTGTGCTGGTAACAAAAAAAATCACTAGAAAAGCCATTCTAAGGAATAAACCCACAGAAGCAGCTGGGATACATATCTGATAAAGGCCTGGATGTAATATAAAAAAATTAAATTCTTTAGAATGATATACTAATGTGAATATGAAAAGTAGCTAAAATTCATAACTAGACAATTAATGAAAGTATCAAGTGGCTACTGACAAAAGTCAGGAGAAAAATGAAGAAAAAGACAAAATAAAACCTGCAAATGAAGATAATGATCACATTTTAAGTAATACAAACCACCTAAAGGAAAACAAAGTGTATAAAAAATGGAAATGAACTTAGAAAATGAAACAGAAGTTAATTTCAAATATGAATATGAAAGTCAAAGATGACTAAGTATAATTAACTGGAGTCCAAAAGACAAGGTGGAACATGATTCTCAGAGGACAGTTGATAATAACAATTAAATTGGCTTCTCCAAAAAGTCTGTGTTGTAAGATGTGGGAAGAAACTTTCTGTATGAAAACCAACTGCTGCAAATCAAATTCTGTTCTCAAAACGCAGAAGATTTTCTTTTTGGACAGTTAAGAAAATTTGAGTATGTCTTGTTACAAATAATGTAATAGGTCTGGTATTTGTTTTGGAAGATGTACTTATTCTGAAGAGCAGCTAGATACTAAAGAGTATGATAATATCTGTTATTTCAAATGTTTAAAATCCATTATATGTAAATAGATATACAAAAATAGGATATAGCAAAGTATTGATACCTTAAATCTAAGTACAGGGTGTACTTCCAATGTTTATGTTTGAAAGTTTACATAGTAAAACAGGAACAGCAGACACCTACACATTTTGCTGTAATTTATTAAAACATTACAATTCTCATGTCTTTGGCGGGGGGGGGGGCGTATAAGTATACAGTCTCACATTCATTCTGTGTAAGTGAAGTGGCATCCAAGCTTCAATTGTTAATGTGACAGTTTCTTTTACACTTTTAATTGTGAAGAAACCCAGAATTTTGTCCATTTATTCTGAAAAATGGTTAAACATAAAAGAACTGGGGGGGGGGGAGCCATAGAATCATTATGGTTAATGTATCATCTTTATAAATCAATGAAATACAAAGTGTTAGGTAGATTGTTGCCTTCTCCAAAAAGTTCTCAGCTCTTGTCACAAACCTGTAAGCAACTGAGCAGCTTCTGTCTGTATCTAAAGTGAAAAAAACACATTACATATTAATAAGTGTAGTCTAACTCATAAAACTGAAGTTGATAAAATACACTGGTTTCTCAGAGTTTCAAGATAACAAAGATCGGACATGGTAAGAATAAAGTCTCTTGTGATTAGATGACACTCCAAAGAAACTAGTTCATATCCCTTAACCATCCAACACCCACCCCAGCCCCACTTCCCCACAGTGTCAGAAATTGAACTAGGTCTTTGTGCATATTAGGTAAGCACCTCTGACTGAGATGACTTTTATGTTTTAGAAATCACATCTTTTCATTTATACTGCAGCAAGCAACTTAGAACATTTGGTGATAGTAACTAAAGAGTTTTCATGCTTAATCGTAAAGGTAAATAAAAAAAGGCACTTGTACTTTCCACAATACTATGCACTTAAACAATGATGCTTTTATAGAAGTTCTCAGTTTATTTATTTACTAATGCCTCAATGAAAGCCTATCTGCCTTTATTACAGATATTTTACCTGTTTATCTTCCTCTGTGTGTGCTGGATAACCCTTGGCTTTTACCAGCCAGAAAGCAGCAAGCTTTTTGTTGTTTAGTTTCAAGTATGTCTTTCCTAACAGCAGCAAGTTTTTGCTGTAGAAGTTTGGATCCACTATAAATAAGGAGGAGAAACAAAGTCAGCTCCAGTGAAATAGTGGTTTTATTTTTATAGGTTTAAATTCTTTTGGTCTAAATTCTAATAAAATTGTGTGGTTAAACAATGATTAGGCTAATACAATTCTTTTGTTCAAATGTTATCTTAAAAAAACATAAAATGATCATGTATTGAATATACTTACAGACTCTGTACATTACTATACCAAGGTCTCACTATAAGAATTTATTATTTGTTATCTGATAGAACATGAACTATATAAAAACCATTTTCTTTTTAAACCACCCATCCTTATTGTATTTCAGTTGCTTAGAACAGTGTAGGGAAAGTAACATACTTAGTGCATCTGTTCAGTGAAGGAAGGAATACATGAATAAAATCATGGTTAAGATAAATCTGATCAGTTTGCTAAATATCTCCTATACTTAGGCACAGAGAGGGAAATAAGAGCATAATTAAATGCTTTGCCAGATATAAGCTAATATGCTGCAAGAGGTCACATTAAAAAAGAACAACTAATTGAGAGATAGGCATCTTGGAGGATGAAGAGGATTTTAACAGATAAAGTAGAGAATATTCTTGGTTGAAAGAAAAGTGCAGATAGGTTCGAGGAATGACAGAGTAGAAAAGTGGTTATCAGAAACTGGGAAGGGAAAGAGATGGAGAATGGATAGGTCACAAAAGTAGGGAAATTTTTTTTTAATAATTTACTATATATTTTTAGAAGATTTACAAGCTTTAGTACTTCCCAGTACAAAGATGATATATGCTTGAAGTGGAGCTAACTGCTTTGATTTGGTAATTACATCATGTATGAATATATTGAATTACCAATGCTCCAAAATGTACAATTATATGTTAAATAAAAAATAACTTTTTAAGAAGTCTATGAATGAAATTATAAAGGAATCCTCTCACTTTCTTTCTTGAAAACGAGAGAGAAGTTCTTCTGCATGTCCAGGTGAGCCTGGAATTTAATAATTCATTGTAACTCAATGGCACAGTTCCTCAGTCTCCTATATGCTGGTGACAACATGCATGCACCACCCCACTCAGTTCTAACTTACTTAATTTCCTCCTAATAACCTTGGCTTTCTGAGGCCAAGCATGGAGCTTGGTAATAGAACACATGTCTAGCACATACCAGGCTTTAGGGTTAAAAAAGAACAAAGCCTACTTTTTCCTGGGTGTATCTTAAGATTAAATGCATATGCTTAAAACTCAGTCATTTAATTTCTTTGATTTAAACATTTTGTTTTTGTTTCTGTTTTTCAAGACGGGGTTTCTCATTGTAGCAGTCCTGGCTGTCCTGGAACTCTATTTGTAGACCAGGCTGGCCTTACTCACAGAGATCCACCTGCCTCTGCTTCCCAAATGCTGGGATTAAAGGTGTGTACCACCACCCAGCCGATTAAAATATTTTAAGCTTAAGTACGCTGATTTATATTTATCTACTTCCCCATCCAGGAAGTCAGCCAAGTATCATATGTGAAGCAATGGAAATATAATCATGAACCAGAAAGAAAAAAAAAAGCCATTTACCCACACACATAGCCTTAAACACATGAACGGCAAAATAAGAAGGCTGATATGGGAGGTATGAACGACATACAACATGGGAGGGACTTCTGGTCCAAAACTAGGCATCCTTTTACTTAGAGAAAGGGACTGCTCATATAAAATCTTATATGCAACTGAAATCACCAAGGATTTAACTCCATGAACAGAGGAGTACATCTTCATTCAGGACTGCCAAACCTTGTCTTAAGGTCTAATTTTTGCTTTAGAATTACAGTTTCAAACCCCTTTGAGATAATTTCATTCTTAGATTCATATTCATGAATATGATCAGTTCATAGTCATATGATTAGTAAGAATACCAATAAAATGAGCAGTGAGCAAAACTTTGAGTTAGAAATATTTAACATTCAAACAGTTATTTAAAGCTTTTAAAATTATCACTAAATTGCTTTGCTTAAGTTTCTATATATGGGACCTCAAATTAAAATGTAAATCTTAGTTTTCTGTTATAAGGAATTGTGGGTATCACATACCTATGAAATTTCAATGTTTGGAAGCTGAGGCAGGAGGATTAGTACTTTGAGGCCATCTTGAGCTATATATTTGGAGTGACTTTTATGATACACTTGGTAACGGACACTTGAGTCTCTTTCTTATTTCTTCTAGTTTTGGGGACTGAACTGAGGCATGTCAGCAAAGCACGTGCCATTGAGTTACAACCACAGTGCCAGTATTTTTTTTTTAAGGGGGAAACATGTAGGACAGGTAACCGACAGTGTTAAAGTAGTATCCATTTTTTAAAAGTCAAAGTAAGAAGAACATTGAATTTTTTTACAATGGAATACAATATACTGTAACATCCAAAAAATAGTTTTCATTTAGGTGTCTCTAATTAACTATAAAATATCAAGTTAGATAATTGTGTAAGTCTCATTAAAAAATTACCTTAACTAAAGAGAACATTCTAGAATTGGAACTCTGAATTCAAGTGCAATTCTGATATAAGTGATCCTTACTTTAAAAAATAAGTTCAAAATTGAGGCTGGAGAGAGGACTCTTGGTGAGATCACTACTCTTCCAGTGGACCTGGGTTCAATCCCAGCACTAGATGGCAGCTCACACCTGTGTTAACTCCAGTCCTGAGGGGACCAGACACATATGTGTGCACAATATAGATGCAAGGAAATTTTTTTCATTTATTTTATTATCCAGTGTGAAAGACACAGCAAATATATTTATCTTGATTTAAAATTTTCTATGACATAGTCAGCACTGAGACAATATTATATGAGTAGTTCAAGTAAAAGGATTTTACCTTGTTCTGCCCTGTGAAAGTATTTCAAGGCCTGTTAAGAATATGAAGAGTAAAACAGTATGGAAAGAATTAGATTCAATAACTTAAAAAATAAAACCCAGATTTTCTCTAAGAGTTAATCTTACTGTTAAAAGTGTCAGAAAGTAAATGATTTAATATTAAGTGATAAATTCAGTAGTAAGATTAATATAGGCTTAATATAACACCATTAAATCATCTAAAACTAGAATTTTAATAATGAAAATCACTTCTAGTAATTACCTGGTTGCTACTTAAGAGTTTGTAGAAAACCATTCTGTCACAAAGCTAAGGAACTGATCATGTGGAATTCAGCAGTTAACTTTGTCTTAAATCATGACAGTCACGCTTCTGATACAAGCTGTTATGATTAAATGGTGAAATCACTCACTGCTTATACTTCATGAGGGGTGTGTGTGTGTGTGTGTTTTTGGCTGGGAATGGAAACAAATGTGACTGAATATATCATAGATTCCTAGGGGCAAACAACAACAATTGCTCCTTACTACAAGAGACGAATACTAGGATAATTTTTTTTTAACTGGCAAGTTCCTTACATTTTGAAAATTAAGTGATTAAGTAAACTCAAGATTTTCATCTAATAGGCTAGGAAGGTAGATAGTGGGTAGGACCCTGGTTCAAACCCTAGCATCCAAAGGATGGGCTGGGGGCTTGAAAGTCTATGTACAAATTCTTTTCTAATTTTATTTATATAGGCCTTTAAAATATGAGGAACCTTTCAGAATCAAGAATTTTTTAAGTCAATTCTTACATGTTCTTCATTTCTCTAAATGACTTGCTATTACAAATAGAAAATGGAGGTCTGTTTTGGCCATGAGCTACTTTGACAGCATAACAGAATCATCAGCCACTCACCTAAATAAGAAGAAAAAAAGCACTCACCAGTCCTGGACAGTAAGTATTAAGTCTTTGAGATACTGTTGAATTGGATCATTAGAAACTTGCTCAAGTCCCTCATAGAATCAGATCTCCATATGTGTGGACACTGAAGAATGGTACTGCAGTTAAGAAATCAGTACTAACTTAACAAAGGACATCACACTACCTCCTCATAGGTGGAAGTAGGAGGATTTGCAAACAGCACTTTAGCAATTCTTCTTTGATACCAAGGCATTTCAGCAAATGTATAGCACCTACAGAAGAATATAGTATTAAGTACATTCAAACTGTATCTTTTTTTACCCACAGAACAAACATCTTAATAAACTTTATAAAAGGAATATTACAATTTTAAATAATTTGAATGTTACATGATACATGGTTGGTTAATATTCATATTTAATTAATTTTCTAGAAACTGACCTGACTTAGTAGTTGAGTCATTTTGTGCCAGAATAACTAAGTGACACAGGATGATTATTATAATCTAATTTCTTTTCTTTTCTTTTTTTTTTTTTGTTTGTTTGTTTAGCCAGAGTTTCTGTGTGTAGCCTTGGTGCCTGTCCTGGAACTCCCTCTGTAGACCAGGTTGGCCTCGAACTCACAAAGATCTGCCTGCCTCTACCTCCTGGAATTAAAGATGTGCGCCACCACCACCTGGCCTTACAATTTGTTTTAAGTTTTCTTTTGAGACATGCTACCCCGGGGCTAGCCATGAACTCCTAATCTTTCTGCCTCATCTTCACTCTTGAAGGGCTTATGCCTGGCTTACTATTAGTTTTGAAATAAGAAAATTCAGAATATTTTTAAATAACCAAACTCAGTGTACTATACATGAATAACAATAATTGCCAGTAATTTATTTAAAAAGAATGAAGTAAATAATTAGCTTCCAAAAATAATGACAGGTTTCTGAGGTAGGACAAAAACCAACCATTGGGGATCTTTGACTAGGGACTGAACTCCTTGAAGCAGAGATTGTATCACATTTGCTTACTGGCTAAGTAGCTGTCCTTTGATAATTATTAATCTTCAGTGAGTAGTTTAATGTGAAAAGTATTTCTTTTGTAAAAGACTTTGGTAGACTTTTATGCCAGCAAAAACATAAAACATTTGTATGCCCTCATACCAGCAAAATAATACCTCATATTGAACACAAGATCACAATGAAACTGGAAGAAAGAATACACAGTTCTCCAGAATAATCAAATCTCAATCTGATGATTTGAAGGTACAAAGACCTCCTATAAGAATGCAGTTTTACTTAGAATTGTAAATGAGGTCTTTCCCAAGAAAGGAAATTAAAGGCCTATAGAAAAAAAATCTTAAAGTGTTTTTTAGTTTTCTTGGGGTTTTAATTTTCCTGGTGGTGAAAAGAGGGTTTTGAGACAGAGTCTCATGTGAACCATGCTGCCCTGAACTCACTATGTAGGTGAAGATGAACTTGAACTCCTGATCTTCCTGCCATTATCAAAGTGTTGGGATTACAGGCTTGTGCCACCATGTCTGCCTATGTTTACTACGTTTTAGTGATACATATTCAAATGCTATTCAGTGACTTAATTCTCAATTCTGTTAGTGGTATTTTTATATAGTTTATTTTGCTTATAAGTAAAATAAAATATTGCTTATACATAGTATAAGATCACACTAAATAGGACAGAAACATTATTGAAATTTTCTTACCAAATACCCATAAGGTGAATTGAAGTAGCATCTTTAGGGTTCAGCTCAATTGCTTTCTGTTGAGAAATAAAATCAAAGAAGCAGTGAATTAAAAAAAGAAAAGGATAAACCTGTATTTTAAAGATGTATTTGTGTGTGTTTCTGTATGAATAAATGCCACATATCTTCAGGTACCCATGGAAGCTAGAAGAGGGTGCTGGGCCATTTGGAGCTGGAACCACCTAATGTGGGTGCTGGAAATGAACTCAGGTCTTTGGGAGAGTGGTCTCAGCACTCTCAACCACAGAGCCATCTCTCTAGCCCCAAACCTACACTATAATCAAGAAGAGCACTTCCCTCAGGATACACTCTCCCTCTCTTCACTGCCCCTTCCCTTGTGTGTGTTTACATGAGACATTAAAGCCAGATGTCTCTCCAATCATTCTCCACCTTGTTTTTAAAGACAGGTCTTTTATCAAACCTTGAGCTCCCTGACTGTAGACCACCAGCAAGCTCCCAAAAACTTCTTGCCCCACACCTAGCATTTTGCATGGATGATGAGCTTGGGTACTCAGGGTTGCATGGCAAATATTTTGACAGCCAACTCCTCACCCCCATATTCTTTATTGGTTAAAGTTGTTCTAGTACAATATTAAAGACATACTAAAGATATAGTTTCAGAAATCTGTTTAGGAGGTGGGAAAACCCATAAAATATACAAATTAACCTAATTCTGAAAAGTTTAATAAAGTACAGTTTTTACTGTTTCTTTAAAAGGAAGGATAAATAAGTCCTTCAAATTTAATATTGAAGAAAAGTCTTCCTGTTATCAAACCCCCATCAATATGGGACAAAATTATTATATATACACCATTTGAAAAGGAATAAAAATACTGCTTCCAGCAGTTAAAAGCATATGCTGCTCTTGCAAACGACTTAGGTTTGGTTCTCAATATCCCTGTGTCAGCTCACAACCATCTGTAACTACAGTTCCAGGAGTTCTGACACCCTCTTCTGACCTCTCGGCACTGCATGCATATACAAGCAAAACACTTTTTTATATAATTTATTTGTATTTTATATTCATTGGTACTTTGCTTACATAAATTTCTGTGTGAGGGTATTGGGTCCCCTAGAACTGGAGTTACAGACAGTTGTAAGCTGCCATGTGGGTGTTGGCAGGTCCCAGGTCCTCTGGGAGAACAACCAGTGCTCTTAACCACTGAACACTCATATTAAAGAAAAACAAACAATGCTGCTTCCAATTATATTATAAGGTAACACTAATTCTGTGGTACAATCTTAATTCAGATATTTTAAAATATAGGACATGTAAATAAATTGTAAAATGTAATGATGCTTGTGTAAGAAGCTAGGTGTCCTGATTCCTAGTCCAATGTTATTTTTCTCTAGTAATTATCTAAGCTAGATACTGGGACTTCTAGCTGTCAGCTTCGGAGGAGTTGCTGAGTAGCATGCCCAGCTTATTCCTACCTGTGCTGTTGTTCCAGTATAGTTTTGAGATGATCTACAATAATAAAAGATTTTTAAATGCTGGACACTTCTGTGTAGATTTGTTCTCTGTGTAAGAATAATGAAATAGTGTACACATAGAATATGAAATATATAGATTTATGTGTAATTTTTACCAATGAACAAAAATTACTAAAACAAGTACATTAACTTTAGGGAGAAATTTGAACATAAAATACACATAGCATAATCTTGAACAAAATTATTACAACTAAGAAAGTGTAGCAGCTTGATTAGACTGTTATATTTTAACCACCGAGCTTTCAAAACCTTCCAGAGAAACCGACTTAACCTCTGTTTGTTTGTTTGTTTGTTTGTGACACAGTGTCATTCAGAATGGTCTTGAACTCACAGACATTTGGCTATCTCTGCTTCTGCGTATGTGGATTAAAGGCATGTGCCACTACAGATACCAAATTTTTAAATTCAATACAATGTTATTAATTGTGCTACAAATGGTTTGAAAAACTTTGCACGCTGGAAACTTTTCTTTTGGAGCATTCACTCTTGAAGGCCATCTCTCATTGTAGAGAAGCTTGGGGTAGATCCCTAAACAACAGGACAAGTAAAGAAGGAACTAAGATAGATGAGAGGCCATCTTGAATCACTCAGTCCTAACTAAATAAAGCATAAAAATAGCCGTAGCTCTACCAAGCAAGGCAGAAGCCCTAATACATAAAATTTACCCAGAAAAGTGGGAAAAAAATAATGATTATTGCTCTATCCCACTGGGCTTTGGGTGTGCTTTCTAAAATGAAATAGGTCTTGTTCTGTTTCCTCGTGTAAGCCTCTAACTCCTAGGCTTAGTAATCTCATGCCTCTGCCTTTCAAGAAGTTGGCCTACAAGTATGCAGTAACATGTTCTGTATACAATAATGGGTAACTAAATCACATCCACTCAGAAAAATACTTCGCTTTTAAAATTCATGAACTTAAATCAGTACCTGAAAATGTTCCTTGATAATGTAGGCATTTGCAATCTTAACCTTGATGCCTTCATAGTCTCCAACATCACTAATGCAGATTGCATACCACTAAAAGTAGGAAAAATAAAAAGTGAGAATATTGTTCTTAATGTTCCATTTAATGCAAATAAAAAATTACATGAGTGCTCTTCAGTTTTTATTCTCATTTAGCAAAATGTTACTGAGCATCATGATGACTTAAGAACAAAAGGTACAAATAAAACAGACATGGTCACTAGGAACTAAAGGCTAGGACACACAGTGATAATACAAGGTAGTAAGTGGTGAAATCTAAGACAACTACCGATATAATAGAGAAATAACATCTGAATATACATTTAGTTAGGTTTGTAACTGGATGACTTATTGTCTTCTCATCTCCTTTTTCTACATCTGCACGGCTGTGTTAGAGTCACAGCTGCTAGCTTTGTCATCACCTTTATAGCCACTGTTGAACAATAGACCCAAACTGAGACTATCTGAGTTTCTCTACCAAGAACTAAACTTAAAATATCTAAATTTCATAAACTCAGGTGTTATGGAGAGCCACAAGATTTAGAGTAGTGTAGGGGAAAATGTCTGCAGTAAAAAATATTCGTGGAGCCTCAGAGCAATTGAGTTAATTTTTCTTGGGGATCAGAAGCACCTGCCTTTGAATTCTGTGCATACTACAGTTTCCTATTGCATTCCTGTGAGCTATAGCTATAGGATCCCAATACACAAAATTAAAAAATATAAATCTATGTGTCCTGACATGTTTACTGGAAATAAAATGGCACATTTTGAAATACATATACACACCTCTCTACAGACTACTATCATTTAATCTCTCTTGTTATCCAGTTGTACAAATTCTGTTCATTAGAAGGGTTACAGAGGATTTTGTCTTGCTGCTCAGATCTTCCACACATCAAAGCTATTGAATAAAGTAATCTCTTATGAGTGGCTAGGGGTATAGTTCAGTGGCAGGGTGTTGGGTTTTCATGTGCAACCCACTATACCACAAACACAAAACCTCTGTTTTAAAAAAGGGATTTGTTTAATGTGTATTTGTGTTTTGTCTGTGTGTATGTCTGTGTACTGTGTGTGCTGTGCCCTAAGGACAGATCAAGGCTTCAGATCCCAAGCCGGCATGTGGGTGCTGAGAACCGAACCAGCATGGGTTCTGTAACGGGTACTTGAGATGCCGATAGAATCTAAATGCCAGCATATTTTTTGGTATGCTAATAGGCAACACATTTAGCTATTTGTCCCAAGTTTCTTCTAGACCTGACACTACCTACTAGCTTTTTGGTAACCTATTCTCTTTGGATGGATACCTTTCTCAGTTTAGATATAATAGGGAAGGCCTTAGTTAGACCTTCCCCAAAGCTATGTGCCTTACAATTTCTGAGGAGGGGGTAAGTGAAGGAAATGGGAGGAGGGGATGAAGTAGGAATCTGGATTGGTATGTATAATGAAAAAAAGATAGTCTGTTATCTATTTAAAAAAATTTTTTTCTTCTTAAAAAAAAAATCCTAATCCAAGACTGTGCATTGACCTCACCACCCATGTCTCTGCATTACTGAAAACCAGTCAGGAGATGCAAAAGCTAGATAAGATACAGGAATCACATTAGTTCTCAGTTTTCCAATTGCTATACTCCCGCTGCTACATACACCAGAAACAATGAGGAAAAGAAACATTGTAAATTGGGGTGGAGGGATGGGTTGGTTCAGACAAGGTCTTACAATGTGGCCTAAGCTATCCCAGAACTCTCCATTCTGCCTTGGCTTCCCCAGCTGCTGAGATTACAGGTTTATACCAATATGCTCAGCATTAAACATAGTATGTCAGATGCTTGCTATATGAACTACAGATAAAGACTGGTAACTTCCAGTATTTGTTTAAGAACAGGCACTCATAAGCATTCACAGAAGTATTTTATCAAGCATACGAATGTAATTAGATGACCTGTTCAAACTCAAAACTGTAGCAATCCTCTCTAGTCCTTTAAAGTGGAGCCATTTTTTCTCCTCACATAAATTAGGGATAATGGGTAAGTAGAGACCAACACAGCCTTCCTCACAGGACATTTTATTAACTAACTCACCTTATGAGCAGCAAAACTCGACTCGTTTTTCTCTAGTGCTCTTTTTGCATACTCTAGAGCTTCATACACCAAAACTTTTTTTTCTTCTTCTGAAGTCCTACTAAGCTGTGCTATGTCACGTGATGCTCGTGCCAAACGCCACAGTAGCTCTGCATCCTCACTAATTTTGGACAAGATATGAAACCATCTTAATTCACACTGAGAAACTGTTAGCAGTCATATCACTAATGAAAGTTCTTTCGGTTTATTCAGGATATATCAAGTATCATAAAGGACATTATTAATACTATTATTTTCTTTCATAAATAAAGCCCTTGCTAAAATCTACTGAAATTTTCCAAATTATTTGCAAACATTAACTTATCTATACATAATATCTAAAACATCAGCTTATTGAAAAAATATTTTTGTATTTAAGTTCTCTGAACACTTTTTGTCAAGCTCAACATATAACATGAGGCTTGATTTACTAACCTTGTACTTCATACAACCCCTAACTGGTTTAGATACTACCATAAAATACATTAGCTTTATGGACAGAATCATACTCTATAAAAATGGAACTGCCAAATCCTTTTCCCCAAATATATCTGGCCAAAAAAGATGTGTGATATTTACTTATTTGTCCATAAATGAATGATTGAACAAATGCAATCTCAAACTAAAGTTCAATGCCATCATGCTGTATGACATACATCAAGTAAGGGCACTGAACTCCTTGAAGATCTGTTAGTTAAATACAGGCATATAAAACAAAAAAAAAATAACTAATAATTAAAAATCACAAGTGATAAAAAATGTTTTAACCTTAAGTTACTTTTTATTAAATGTATGTGTGTTCAAGCCTAATTTGTATTTTCTCTTTGTTAATGAAAAATAACATTCACTTAAATGTTGAAGCTATAAAGGTATCAAAAGTGTACAGCTTACTTTTCAAATAAGCAATGTAAAATGCCCAAACAGCCAACTCATGAAGACACACTGAAGAAGTAATGACTTAGTCTACAGATACCTAGCAACTAAAGTTGAGGGGAATAGGAAGGGTGAGATTATTAATAAAATTAGATGAAAGGCAACTCAATATTCCAGAAGTAAATGCCATTTAGCCATATTCAACTCATAGGGTTGACCACCGCTACCTTCTGAATGAGTGCACACTGACATTCTACACTAACCATGTAGTCTAGGACTAAAAACAGAAAATGGATATATTTGCTGTTTCTCTGAAAACTCTAAACACAGCTGTCATTCAGAAGTGCCAAAGACCACCCTTCTCCCCCTCCCCCCACTCCTTTCCCCCTCCAGTCCAAAGAGCAGTCAGGGTTCCCTGCCCTGTGGAAAGTCCAAGGTCCTCCCCTCTCCGTCCATGTCTAGGAAGGTGAATATCCAAACTGTCTAGGTTCCCACACGGTCAGAACATGAAGTAGGATCAAAACCCCGTGCCATTGTCCTTGGCTTCTCATCAGCCCTCATTGTTCGCCATGTTCAGAGAGTCTGGTTTTATCCCATGCTGAGGCTGGGAGGAGGGGGAAACTTTTTTTTTTCCTTTTCTCAATTAAAAAAAAAAAAACAACAACAAAAAAAGGAATAGATAGTTATGTTTATAGTTTCCTTTAGTTATGATAAAAAATTAATTAGATGTAAAACTTTAGACTCACAAAGATAGAATAGATGATAGAGTATATTCTTTAATTTTGGCAAATACAAATAGACTATATATTGTAACAGTAATTCTTACTTGATAACTGTTTTTTATATGTAATTTTACTATGTTAAAGTAAAAACCTTCCTTTTAAATTAGAAAAAAAAAAAAAGAAGTGCCACAGAACCATCCCAAACTCTAGTAAATTCATTTAAATCCTATACCAGTTAGGAATTTCTTTTTTAAAAAACATGAAATATGGGTGATAATAAAATACAGCCGGGCGGTGGTGGCGCACGCCTTTAATCCCAGCACTCAGGAGGCAGAGGCAGGCAGATCTCTGTGAGTTCGAGGCCAGCCAGGTCTACAAGAGCTAGTGCCAGGACAGGCTCCAAACCTACAGAGAAACCCTGTCTCGAAAAACTAAAAAAAAAAAAAAAAAAAGCATATATTTAGTGTTACTTTTTTTTTTAAGTGGGATGGAATTTTGCAGTTATTTTTTTTTATATTTATTTATTTATTTATTATGTATACAATATTCTGTCTGTATGCCTGAAGGCCAGAAGAGGGCGCCAGACCTCTTTACAGATGGTTGTGAACCACCATGTGGTTGCTGGGAATTGAACTCAGGACCTTTGGAAGAGCAGGCAATGCTCTTAACCACTGAGCCATCTCTCCAGCCCCTATTTAGTGTTACTTTTATGAACCAATGCAAAATAGAAAAAATACTTCAACATTCTAGTAGAATAAGAACAATCTTTACAAATCAATGAGATTCAAATAGCACTTTTCAATCATTTACTTTAAATAATGATTTACTATAAAATGAACTCTAGGAAATAATACTTTGAATAAAAAATGTCATACAAAAATTTTAATACCAAGAATGCTTTTATTGTTAACAAAAGCTTTTTGAGTTAACCTCAGACACAGATAAATCATACATAGCTTACCTTTCCTTGTACTGTGTGAGCAACTGATAAAGCTTCTCTGTTTCTCCACTTTCATATAGGTAGTCTGCTTGCTCAAGTATTTCTTCAACTTCCAAAGCATAACATGAAAATAAAAATTACCACTGATATATATGCTAACAAAACCAGACACAGAAACTACCATTACATCAGAAATTCTGAACCATCAAGATAAAAGTACTGTAGTAGTAAGCATGAAGTGGTTATAGTAAGTGATCTACTAAAACCACAAAGAACACAACCCAGACAACACAGAATACTATATTTGATTAATACATGTTTAAAAATGAAAAAAAAAGTAATTCCTTATGAGGAATTCATGGCACAGAAACTACAATCTTTTTGCTTCCCAGTAGACATGTCTGGTGGCTACAGAGTATCAGACACCCCCTTCTGTCCTCCTTGGGTAAATGTTCATATATAACCCCTCCCTCCCTCCCTCCCTCCCACCCTCCCTCCTTCTTCCTTCCCGCCCTCCCTCCCTCCCTCCCTTCTTTCTTAAAAATGTGTAATCTCTTCTGATTCTAAAAAGGAATTCTGAAACCCACACTATATGTGATATATAAGAAAAAATAGTTACAGTACTACAGACTCACAATATGTACTCAAATAGGAGCATGTAGACCACTCCATGTACATATCTGAAAATTGGTTGTTCTCTTATTTAATATTCTGAACTATCCTGAGATATTTAAAAATAAGCTATGCTGCTGACATAGAAACCACATTGTATAAAACAATCTAAACTTTTAGAGTAAATTACTTTCAAGTTAAAGTATGAGAGTATTGATATCCTGAGGTGAGGTAAGAAACACAACTATACAATGATATCTTAAACTTGACCTAAAATGAATACGCCCAAGTTCATAACACTTGAGCAAAATTTTTCCAAGGAAGAAATATCAATGGTATGAAACCTGGCAGGTATATGTTCTAGAAGCTTTTGACTTTCTAGTTTTTGTTTGTTTGTTTCGTTAAATGAATTGCAGTCACATCAGAGTCATCAATACAAAAACAAAATACTACTCAAGTTATACTCAAGTGGCCTGGAGAGATGGCTCAACAGATCAAGGCTAGGCTCAAATCCAAAAATAAAAGTTTGTTCAGGTAACCAAAATTTTCAAACTTCTGTGTTTTCTTTATATAGGACTTACTTAATTCATGAAAAATAGGCATACTGACAGTCAAGGATCAGGATAACATTGTCATCCAGATCTAAGGCAAAGCTTTCCCACCAGTAATTCTGTGTGTTTCACAAGTACAAAAAACAATGCTATTAAAAATATTAGGAAATATAACTTAATAGTACTGAACATCTGTTGGTTTGTTCATCCTTGAGGAATGTTTTAAGAGTGTGAAAAGAAGGAAACGGAAGTGTTACATGAAGAACCTTTAGGTTGCTCACTTGTGACAAACTTATCTCTTAAGTAGTTAACAAGGAAGTTTCCACCTGCAGGAGGGTACTGCAAATCTATTAATCAAAGACTTTATTTTTTTATTAAATAATTTATTTTTTACATGCCATACCCATTTCTCCCTCCTTCCTTGGTGTAGGAGGGTCTTCTGTCTATGTGTTGCTTTCATTGGTTAAATAAAGAAACTGCCTTGGCCTTTTGATAGGACAGCAGCTTAGATAGGCAGAGTAGACAAAACAGAATGCTGGGAGAAAGGAGGCAGAGGCGGAGAGCCACCTGCTATAAAGCTGCCAGGTTAGACATGCTGAATCTTTCCCTGGTAAGTCCTGAGCTCATGGTGACATACAGATTATTAGAAATGGGTTGAATCAAGATGTGAAAGTTAGCCAATAAGAGGCTAAATATAATGGACCAGACAGTGTTTAAACGAATACAATTTGTGTGTTGTTATTTCGGGACATAAGCTAGCCAGGGAGCTGGGCCGCGAGAAGTGGCCCGCCATTCCTTTTTACAACACTCCCTCTCCCCTCACCTTTTCCCCACCCCACCCCCATCCTCAGAGTGTAAGGCCTCCCTTAATAAGCACTAAATCTGCCCCATCACCTCCTTGAGCTAGGAGCAAGACCACTCTCCCTCCCCAGGGCCTACGCTGTACAAAATGTCTCTCCAAAGAAAATGGGCTCCACAAAGTCAGTTCCTGCATTAGAGTTAGATCCTGGTCCCACTGCCAGTGGCCCCATATACTGCCTAATCCACACCGCTGTCACCTGTATTCAGAGGGCCTAGTTTGGTCCTGTGCAGGTTCCCTAGTTGTCAGTCTGGAGTCAGTTAGCTCCCACTAGTTCGGGTCAGCTGATTCTGTGGGTTTCCCCATTATGGTCTTGACCTCTTTGTTCATATTATTGCTCATCCCTTACTTTGATTGTATTCCAGGAGCTTGGCCCAGTGGCTAATTGTCTCAGAGTTTAAATTTTAAAGAATTTTTTTTTGAAGTTCTACTAGTTCTTCATTTCTTGTCAGAATGGGTATTTGCTACCACCTTGTGGTAAGCACAGATATTAACATTAAAAAAAATTAAAAATTCAGTTAGAATGCACAGTGGTTGTGTGTGCCTAGCAAGCAAAAAGCCAAGTACCTTGATAAAACAGACAAAAAAGTATTGTTATGAGGCCCAGAAAACAGTCCCTAATAGGTATGAAGTGGCATAGTCTCACTTGTGCCAATATGCCACGGGACTGAAACTAGTCACGAAGTCCAGCCAGTTCATGGAGGACTACACGGAGGCAGGCGTCTCAGAAGTGGGCAGGGGTCTAAAGGGAAGTCAACTTGGAGACCAGCAGCACTGATGTCTTTGTTTCTTTCCTTTGTTATCCCCAGACCAAGCGTGTACTAAAGAGATTTTCATTTTCTTTCCTTTCTTCTGGCTTGGAATATATTCTATATTTGTTTTTTCTTTAGTCATCTGTGGTGATCTGAATAAAAATGGCCGCCATAGGCCTGTATATTTGAATTCTCAGTCTGCAGGCGTGGTACTACTTAAAAGGATTAGGAGGTGTGGCCTTTTTGGAGGAAGTGTCATTGGGGGTGGGCTTTAAGGGTTCAAAAACCTAAGCCAGATCCTAGTGTCTCTCTCTTCCTGCTCCCTGTGGATCTAGATGTAGAACTCTCCAGCACTAAGTCTGCTTGAGTGATACCGAGAATGGGCTAAACCTCTGAAACTGTAAGCAAGATCCAATTAAACGCTTTCTTTTATAAGACTTGCTGTGGTCATGTTGTTTGTTCATGATAACAGAACACTGGCTGAAAGAGTCACCCTACATTTTCTCACCTGTATACTGTATTTAACTATGTTTGAAGTTAAGCTGGGTGGACCTTGGAGAGAAGAAGCATTTGGGCCACTGTGAGTTTGAGGTCAGCCTGGTATACATACTGAGTTCCAGTCCAGCCAGAACTACATAGTAAAACTCCATCTCAAAATATAAAAGAAGATAAAATGTCTTAAGTTAATCACTGTTTTATGGAATATATCTCTGAAATCTGGTTTACTGCTGCTCATTTTTATTGCTTTCTATTTTTTACGTCTTATTTTGCTGTTTTGTTTCTTTTAACAGTACTGGGGATCAACCCAAGGCTTTGTTGGTACTAGGTAAGCACAATACCACTGTGCTACACACCAAATTCTTTTGTTTGAATTTTCAAACTAAGTCTCTCTGTGTAACCCAGGCTGGCCTCAAACACTAGATTCTCCCAGCTCAGCCTCTCAAGTATGGGGATTACTGTTTTGTCTTTAAGACAGCCTTTTTACTCTTATACAGTCTGTGCTTGCTTGAATTTTCCACACGCAAAAAATATTTTGGTTCTTGGTTCATAGTACCACTACTTCTGAGATTTACTACCTGAGTAGTTTATTTCATGTTTATTACCTGAGTGGTCCATATTTTATTAAGTCATTAAAAAAGGATCATTCCTATTTTTTATATATATATTAAATTTTATAAATATATACATATCACTGACTGACAGTGAAGAACATATAGTACTATTAGTTTCATTATACATTCAAAAATAAGCAAATGAGAAAATCTCAAAATCTTTGGCTGAGAGAATAAAGAGTTTGTTCTACAAGCACGGAGATCTTAGTTTTAGATCCTCAGAACCCATATAAAAATATGATTTGGGCATCACACATCTGTAATCCCAGCACTTGGAAGCAGAGATCCAGGTTCAGTGACTTTGTCTCAACAATTAAATTGGGGGCTGGAGAGATGGCTCAGAGGCTAAGAGCATTGCCTGCTCTTCCAAAGGTCCTGAGTTCAATTCCCAGCAACCACATGGTGGCTCACAACCATCTGTAATAGGGTCTAGTGCCCTCTTCTGGCCTGCAGGTATGCACACAGACAGAATATTGTATACATAATAAGTAAATAAATAAATAAATGAATGAATAAATAAATAAATGATTTTTTTTTTAAAAATTAAGTTGGAGGTACTAGAGAGATGGCTCATAAGTGAAGAGTCCTGGCTGTTCTTCCAGAGGTTCTGGGTTCAATTCCCAGTTCCCCCATGGTGACACATGACTGTCTGTAACTGTACCTCTATGGAATCCTATGCCTTCTTTTTGTGTGTAGATATATGCAGACATAACACCCATATACATAAACAAAATAATTAAAAAGTTGGAGAGCCAAAGGAGTCACAACATCGGCCCCTGGCATATGTGGACAGGGTCACACGTTCTGCCACCCACAGAATAAATCTTCAAGATCTTTAGTTTATGCTTACCTTTGGCTGTGGCATGAACCACGGCAGCCTGAGAAATGACTTGGTAGGTTTCAAAACCCAAAAAAGACAAGGCTGAGAACAAAAGGCCTCTCTTGAAAGGTCGAGTGTTTCTTATCACCTAGAGAATATATATTAAAATTATGAAACTCAGAAATCATAAAGAATTTGCAACCCCAAGTAAAACATATTAATTTTTTTCCACCTTTAAAGCAAGTAATTACCAAATGCTAGAAAAAAAATGGTTTGCCAGTTCCTCAGTAAAACTACTTCAAACCTTGCATACAGTGTATCTTTGTAGTAGAGCATCATGCACAATGCACTTGTTTCAAGACCCAGAATATCAAAATGAATGAATGAATATGACAAAGTGACTATTACATTATTATGGAGATTTTTATAGAGACAGAGGTACTACAAATTGTATGGAATAATATTAATAATAAACTTATCAATTATATCATTTATCTTATAAACCAACATATAACAAATACTAATTACAGGTAAGCTGAAATCTATAATTACTACACATAAAAAATATATACTGGGCTGGAGAGATGGCTCAGAGGTTAAGAGCACTGGCTGCTATTCTAGAGGTCCTGAGTTCAATTCCCAGCAACCACATGGTGGCTCACAATCATCTACAATGAAATCTGGTGCCCTCTTCAGGCCTACAGGCAGAACACTATGTATATAATATGTAAAATCTCAGTATATATATATATATATATATATATATATATATATATACACACACACACATATGTGTGTGTGTGTTCTTGGTTCATAGTACCACTACTTCAGAGATTTACTACCTGAGTAGTTTATTTCATGTTTATTACCTGAGTGGTCCATATTTTATTAAGTCATTAAAAAGGATCATTCCTATTTTTTTAATATATAAAATTATATATGTATACAGCTCTCAGTGAGGATATTGTCCTGTAGTAATAAGGTCGGCGGGGCTGCGTTCCCAGCACCCCAGCCGCCTGCTCGGCTAGCTTATGCCCCGAAATAATTACACGGACACTGTATTCTTTTAGACACCGCTTGGCCCTTTAGCTCTAGCCCTTACAGGCTACTGTTTACTCCTCCCACCTATCTTCTAACCAATGAGGGCCAAGCAGTTTCTTTTTATTTAACCAATGACCTTCCTCCATCATTGTCCAAAGGCCCCATAATTTTTAAATGGAGGATGAATAATCATTATTTAAGATGAGTATGGTAGCATATTATATGTCTATAATCCCAATACTCAGGAGATAGAGGCAGGCGGACCAGGAAAATATTCAAGGACAATCTCAGAAACAGTTGCTGAGTTTTAGTTCAAAGCCAACTAAAATAGACCTGAAGCCCAGCCTCAAACAACAAGAAGATTTAGAATCAGTTTATACAATCATCATCAGATAATTCTGACCAATTACGAGAACAAATACATCACTCCTACAACTCTTCCCCTTTTCCATCCCTCTTCTATTTGACACAGTAGCATTTTTTCCTTTCTGTCAAATCATTTGACCAGCATGAAAACAAACTTCTATCTTTATTAAAAAGCAGCCTGTAATTTTTTCAATATTTTGGAGACAGGGTCCTACTTTATAGCCCAAACTGGACTTGAATAGTTTCTTGGTCCTTCTGTCTCTGCCTCTAAAGATGGGATTACAAGGTTCCAGCTATCTTTTTTTTTTTTCCTTCTGAAAACAACCTTTGGCCAGATATGTGACTCAGAGGTAAAGTACTTGTAAGATCTATGTTTAATTTCAGCTGAAAAATAAAATAAAATAAAGCACACTTCCCCTTGATTTTAAATCTCATTTCAGTCTCCATTCCCAGCTCTTTCAAAACATTCTCCATCCTGTTTGGCTGTTTCTACTTTCTAGCTCCTATTTTCTCTTGAACCCACAGATTATATATTTGAGACAATCTCTGGTAGCCCAGGCTGACCTTGAACTCATTAGTAGCTGAGGATAACCTTGAACTTTGATCCCCCTGTCTACATAGTCTAAAAGAACAAGCATGAACAATCTACAAATTCACTTTTAACCAAATCACTCCATGAATGATGTTTTGTTTCCCAGATTTTGGAATATTTATAGAGACATGATGAACCATCATGTGGTTAGGACCATAGTATACCCATGAAATTAATTTGTGGTTTTTATAATCTTTCTACACAGAGCCTGTAAATAATGTTGTATAATATTATTAGTGTGCCTGTGTTTTAACTTTGACCTGTTACAAGAAGTCAGTTAGAATTTCCAATTCTATGGCACTCAAATGCCTTGAATTTTGAAGCATTTAGGAAGTTCAATTTTCAAATTAAGAATGCTCACTCTGTATGTATTTTCTGTGGTCAATTCTGAGTTCTCATTGTACTTTGGCATATCAACAGCATTTGATAGACAAGTATTTCCTCTTAGCAAAAATTATAATAGGAATAAAAATAGACAAGTTATGAACTGATACTAAATTTTAAGACCAGCTTTACTGGAATATTCACTAATAAACTACATACTTGAGGGTACAATTTTATTATATATATATAAACTGGGAAAATCCATTTTCATCAGCACAATTAAGATAATGAACATACTCATTAACTCAAAACTAATTTCCTTGTAATGTACTTTCCCAGCATTGTGTTTAGTTACTGTTAAAACAGTTCAGTTTGGTTTTGAAATATTATTCTCTTGGATTTTTCTCCTGTCTCACGACCTTCCATCTCTTTTAGTAGTTCCTCTCCAATGTCTCCTTATCTGTTGTATGTGTCTAGAGCTTAATCCTAGACCTCTGTTTTGTGTGTGTTCTTATTTCCTCTTTGCCAGATTTGACCCATTCTATCTCTAACCTGGATGTCCCTTCTAAACTTGAGAATCACTCAGCATCTGTCTCTATATGAAGTGTATTATGAATTTCAAGGCACGATTCTTCCCACCATCCCCTCTCTTCTCAGTTTTTCCTATTAAGGTAAATGGGAGCTATATTTTCCTTGTTATTTCTTTTTTCTTTGTTTTGTTTTTATTTTTAGATTCATTTATTTTATTTTAAGTCCATAAGTGCTTTGCCTGCAAGTATGTGTATGTTCTATGTGCACGCCTGGATTCTTCAAAGGTCAGAGAGAGTGTCAGATCTTCTGGAACTGGAGTTACCACAGCTTGTAAGCCACCGTATAGGTGACCAAAGATTGTAAACCACCATGTAGGTGTTAGGAACAGAAACAGGGTCCTCTGAAAGAGCATAGAGTGTTTTAACAACTGCCACTAAGCTATCTCTCCAGCCTTCTTGTTCAGTTTTTAAAAACTAACAAAAACACCACTGACTCATCTAGATTCTCTAAGAATCTACATTTAATCCACATCTAAACTTCTGATATAGACTTAGACTAAAAAATGGAAAATATACCATATTCTAATTTTTTGAATATTCTGTTAAAAATGAATACTCAAGATATATTAGCACCCGTGACAAATCAGTCACAAAACAGCATTTCATGTTCTGAATGTATTCTTAATTTTTAAAGACAGGTTAGCGGTTTGTAGTCTTGCCTAACATATAAGAAGCCCTAGGTTGGATCTTCATCACCATATAAACTGGGCTTGGCGGTGCTCTTAATCACAGTACCAGCCGGGCGGGGGTGGGGGAGCACAGGAGGATCAGGAGTTCATGGTCTCCCTTAACTACATACCTGGTATACACAAAATCTTGTATTAAAAAAAAAAAAAGAGGAGGAAGAGAAGAAAAGTTGGACTAAGGAGACAGTATGCCAGGTTTATAGGTATGATGTTAGTGCCAAAAAAAAAAAAAGGGGAAAAGACCAATATATTTAACATTAAATTTTAGTTGCCTACTAATCCACAGGTAATGACACAGTAGGAAGGTTGTATATACTACTGTAATTTGAGAAAAATGTCACATTTAGAATGCTCAACATTTTGTGCTGAAGTAATATGTAATTTTCTTAAGGGGTATGTTGCCATTGAGTGACTATATTTCTCACTGTTAATTCATAAATTGACAGTTTATCTGCTGAGTTCTGATCAGTTTGATTAATATCAAGCAATCCTTTATTCCTTTATTTATCTCTGGGAAAGTAGAAAAAATAGTGTTTCTATGGTTAAAATAAAAGACCCAGAACACCTCCAAGCCACTGATAACTTTAAGAATGTATTCAGCAACTAGAATATGCCACTTCACCTTGTACCTCTAAAGTGGAATGTAATGCTTTTTATGAGTTCTTAAGCAGTAACAACAACAACAACAGAAGTCTCTTGAAGGAGCCATAAAGATGACTCAGTGGAGAAAGGCACCTGCCACCAAGGCCTTATGATCTAAGTTCAATCCCTGGGACCCACAGGATGAAAGGAGAAAGCAAATTTCCACAAGTTTTCCACTCTAGCATGCATCTGAATACATATACAGAATGTAAAATGTAATTACAATTTTTAAAGCATTTCATATAATAAGTATACTCTCAGACATATTTTTCTTCAACATTAATTTTACCAACTTTAGAGTCATTTTTTAAAAAATCATTAGATGAAAGGAATATGTTAAAATTCTTCCCCTTTTCTTTGTAATTTTTGCCACAATATCTTCCTCTTAACTATTAGAATTCCCTGTGATGGATACAAAGCCTCTTCTTGGTGTAATATTAAATACTTTGAATATTTTACCATGGCTGAAAAATACAATTATTTATGAGCCGATTGTGGTGGTGCTTGCATTTAATCCCAGCATTTAGGAGGCAGGGATAAGAGGATCTATGTGAGGTCCAGGCCAGCCAAAGCTACAGAGACCCAGTCTGAAAAACAAAACAAAACAAATAATTACATGCTAAAAGTTCAACAGGTAATTAATTGGCAGACCTACTGAGCTTCTTAGCTATCCATAAGCCAACTTGGCCCTCTTAATACAGTCCAAAATAAAACTCACTTCCCCTTTACCCCTCAAATTTCTTTTGGCAGTCATTTCTCACACTATCCATTAGGCTGTTTCAGCTAGAAACTAAAGAATTCTCCTTGACTTTTTTTGGGGGGTGGGGTGGGGTGGGGGGTTATTTGTATTTATTTTTTTTCAAGACAACAACAGGGTTTCTCATAACCTGTACCACGCAACTGTAATTCTGTCAAATTCTTTGAACTCATCTACTTACTTACATTTCCACTAGAGTTCAAACAACATTTCTTACCCATCCTACACCAAGAACTCTGTAACATTCACTCTTGCATATCCATTCTGTAGCCAGAACTACAGCATTGAGCCATCATGCTGGGCATAACCCGAGTGCCGCAACCCTCGGTGGCTTGGCAGAAAGTGACTTTTTCAACGGTCGAAGGTCTTTCACCTTCCCGTTCTATTTTCGGACAGGAAGGGCAGGGAGCACGCACACGTCCGCGGACGTCTAGCCGGGATGCAGGACCACCCGGGACGCCCTGCCGAAGGAGAAGGCAGGCCCAGGACAGCGGGTTACCTCGGAGCCACAGTGTCCCCGGCTGCCCCAGGTCCTCGCCAGCTGACGGAAGCTCTGGGTGGCTCCGCGCCGCAGAGGGAGAAGGCGCCACAGCCGCGAGGACAGCGCCATGACTGACAGCTCCGCAGCCTGACCGAACGGGCGGGGCGAGAGGCTCGTCAGGACGGCCGCTCTCCAGCTTCCGAGCCAGCACTTCCGCCACGCCCGCAGCTTCCGGGTCTCGGGATCCAAGGACCGGAAGTGGCTTGACGGGAGGGGGGGGTTGGGGGGGACGGACGACATCACGCATGTGCGCAGCATGCTCAGGTGAGCGGGAGCGCCCTCCTCTGGCCACTGGCGGTTGTCCTAACTTTTTTTTTTTAATTGAGAAAAGGAGAAAAAAAAAAAAAGTTTCCACCTCCTCCCAGCCTCCCATTTCCCTCCCCCTCCTCCCACCCTTCTTCCCCTCCCCCCACTCCTCTCCCCCTCCCTCTCCAGTCCAAAGAGCAGTCAGGGTTCCCTGTCCTGTGGTAAGTCCTAGGTCCTCCCCCCTCCGTCCATATCTAGGAAGGTGAACATCCAAACTGGCCAGGCTCCCACAAAGCCAGCACATGAAGTAGGATCAAACCCCCGTGCCATTGTCCTTGGCGTCTCATCAGCCCTCATTGATCGCCATGTTCAGAGAGTCCGGTTTTATCCCATACTTTTTCAGTCACAGTCCAGCTGGCCTTGGTGAGCTCCCATTAGATCAGCCCCATTGTCTCAGTGGGTGGGTGCTCCCCTCGTGGTCCCGAATTCTTTGCTCATGTTCTCCCTCCTTCTGCTCCTCATTGGGACCTTGGGAGCTCAGTCCAGTGCTCTAGTGTGGGTCTCTGTCTCTATCTCCATCCATCACCAGATGAAGGTTCTATGATGATATGCAAGATATTCGTCAGTATTGCTCTAGGATAGGGTCATTTCAGGTTCCCAATCCTCAGCTGCCCAAGGAACTAACTGGGGACCTCAGCTTGGGCACCTGGAAGCCCCTCTAGGGTCAAGTCTCTTGCCCACCCTAAAGTGGCTCCCTTAACTAAGAATTGTGGTTCCGTGCTCCCCTGTCCAACCTTCCTTTATCCCAGTCCTCCTGTTTCCCCAAGTCCCCCCCTCCTTCCCTTCTAACTTTTCTCTCCCCATCTCCCCTTACCCCCATCCCACCCCACCCCCAAGATCCCAATTTTCTCCCCGGCAATTTTGTCTACTTCCCTTAGCCAAGAGGATAACTATATGTTTTTCCTTGGGTTCCCCTTCTTACTTAGCGTCTTTAGGTTCACCTATTGTAGACTCCGTGACCCTTATTTATGGCTAGAAACCAATTATGAGTGAGTACATCCCATGTTCATCTTTTTGGGTCTGAGATACTTCACTCAGGATTTTTGCGGGAGCTTTTCCTCCCTTTGGCCAAAGCGTAAATTAACAGAGCAGAACTCAAAGTTCTAAAGTACACCCAATAATGTATGCATGAAAGAAAAGGTGATTAAAAACAATTTTTCTATAATTCTCCAAAGTCTTCAGAAGTGAATCCTGGCACTTATGGTCCTTTTGGAAAATAAATGCTTGAATGAATTAAATTGTGCCGCATAGGAAGACAGTGGAAAAATTCAGAGGCTGGAGGTGGTGGGAACTAAAGTTGGGGAACCCACCGGGAAGAGGAGGAAAGCAAAGCCCCACCGGGTCTGCGTCAAGAAATACTAGGAAGAGGGGGAACCCCACAATAGCCAGACGTTCAGAATCTAGCCTGCATGAAGTCCTGGGTTCAATTCCCAGCACTGCCTAAGACTGGAGTGGTAGCATGTGCCTATAATGACAGCACTGGAAGGTGGACAACTAGTAGTTCAAGGCCATCCTCAGCTATATAATGAGTTGGGTGCTAGCCTGAACTCTCAAAGATCCTGTCTCGGTAAAAAAAGAAAAAAAAATTTGATTGTTGTAATTCTAGCTCTATTACCTTGAATTTAAGGGCAGCCTGGGCTTCTCAGTGAATACCAGTCTAGCGTGTATTACAGGATGTGACTGTTCAACCCTGCATTTAAAAAATGCAGATAGGCCAGGCGGTGGAGCGCGCCTTTAATCTCAGTAGAGGCCAGCGGATCTCTGTGAGTTCAAGGCCAGCCTAGACTACAAGAGCTAGTTCCAGGACAGGCCCCAAAGCCACAGAGAAACCCTGTTTCGAAAAACAACAACAGCAACAAAATGCATATATATATCTCAGTGCTTTCCTGAGTGGTTACTGTTACGATTCAGGCATTATGCTGACCCCTGTCACTTGGCAGGATGCACTCAGGCAATGCCCTGGCCAGCCCAGGGTCCTAAGGCTGTAGTCTGTGTGCAGGTGCAAAGGATCCTTTTAAGAGATAAGCTCCTCCTATTTCATTCTCTACCAACTGTTCTTCTGAAGAGGCAAGCAGGTCTCTGCCTCTCTGTCTCCCCCCCCCCCCCAGAGGCCAGTCTGTTCCCTCCCCTTTACCCTTCTTGCCACGTAAGATTTGTATGTATGTCATATTTGTCTGACCCTCACCAGACAAGGGCTATCTTCCACTGCCAATGCTCCTTTTGTGCAGAAATCGTTGCAGTTGTATCCTAGAGATGGCAAAAATAATTTTAAATGTAACTTACATTTATTGCCTTAAATTGTTAAGATGCCCGTTTGCTAAAGGTGCTATGTGGTGCTGAGACATTTCATGTCATTTAAACATTATGCCATGTATATATGTATATATGCTACAACACCATGCCCTATTTAATAAATACATAGAATTTTGTCAACTTTCATGTTTGATAAATGATAAAAATACATTACATTGAAAATATGTATGTCTTTCTCAACTTCTCTAAATCCTAGTCATTTCCACAGACTATCTCTACTGCTGGCTAGTTCAATATTTCTAGATAATATATATATATATATATACCATTGGAGGCCATGCTCATGCTGAAATTCCATTTCTATGTCTCAGTTACAATGGATTCTGGGTATATTTGTGAATAAATCCAGGGCTTTGTGCAACTTAGGCAAGGGATCTATAACCCAGCTACATTCATGACCTCACCAATAATAAATTTCATTGGTCATACTTATGCTGAAAAACTTGTTTACCTGAAATTCAAATTTGCTTCAGCATCTTAATTTAACCAGTTTGGTAGAGAGCTGGTGCTGTAGCTTGGTGGTAGAGTGCTAATATGTGAGGCCTTGGATTTGTTCTCTGGCCCTGTAAGAAAAGGAAATAAAAGGTAGATCAGAAATGTATTCCCATTCTTAAGTTTGTGGTGGGTATAGTGTACTGTCGTGCACACAGAGACTGCCCTCTCTGCTATCCTTTCCACATCTTTTGGCTTCATTCCTTGACCCCTCTCCTCCTCCTGCTACATCACATGCATCTCAGTAAGTGTCAGTCCCACAGTCTTTTTCATCTTACAAAGAGCCGCAGGCTCCACTACATGTATTTTCTTTGTCAGTATTCCTTTATATTCCACTACCAGATACCTTCTTTCTTTTACCTGGCTAATTTCAATTTCTTTTCCCATTCTCAGTATGTTACTTTCTTAGACAAATGTCTCTTGATTTCTCCTAAATATATTTTCATTTATTAACTCATAATTTCACTTTCAGTTTTGTGATAATTTGTCTGGAGTATGTTTTGGAAGAGATGGTAATCTACATTCATTATACTGTAATTTCAATGACTGATTTTTTTTTCACTTACAAATAAGGTATGACTCATTCATTCAATAAATGTGTATCATGTATTTATAATGCTAGGTCTCACAGCCTGGACGAATGGCTAACTGAGGTGCCTATTTACCACATCAAAGCAGATTCTGGCCGCCAAATTCTCAGCAACTACTTGCTACAGGGTCATCCTGGCTGGCATACCTCTCCCTGTACCCTAAACACTATAGCTCAGGGACTGGGATGGACCCCCGCCCCAAAATTCTCTTCCCTATATAACCCAGCCATTTTGGCTACACCTCTTTCTTGGTCTCCTGGCTCGTTCCTGACCTCTTGGTTCCTGGTTTTTTCTCTTTTGTTCTCTTGCTCCCCCACATTCCCCTCCTCTCATGGCCCTGTTCAGTCTAGACTCTTCCAGATGCTTGTGTACTTTACAGTTTTGTTATATCTACAATAAACCTTCTCCTCCATCCATACCTAGGAGCTGGGAGCATCATGTTCTTTTTTTTAAAAAGTTTTTTATTCATGTAATATGCATCCTTATCTTCTAGTAGCAAGAAAGTAAAAACAGTTGTAAAATACTATATGACGATAAATGCTAACTAAGAAGATGAGGGAGAAAAAGCTATAACTATATATTTCTGTGAGGCACTGATTGCAATTTCATTTTATTTTTTTTCCCTTTCAGTGTTAAGTATTGAACACAGAGCCTTGTTCATTCTAGGCATTTAGAGTACTTTGTAACTGTGAAACTGCCTAAGCCTAAATTGAATCCTAAATTGAATACTGGTCAGAAAAAAACTTACTCAGAACTTTCAAATTAATACCCAAAGAAGTTAGTCTTAAAGATCTTTAGAGACAAAGCATTTTGTGGACAGTAAAATAAACATGAAAAGTCTAGCTATGGAAAGGCAAATAGAAATTTTCCTGACCAGCAAGGAAGAAGGAAGTAAGAGAAGAGATAAAGCCCAGTGACAAGGTGGTAAGAGTTTTGAATGTTTTCTTTGTGTGACTAGGTCAGACCTAATTTGCATTTTATGTTGGGTCCTTCTAGGTTGAGAGTAGACTAAAGGAGAGTATGGTTGACCTTCCAGGCCAACCACCTTAAAGGAAGTGACTGTCTGTCTTCCAGCTGTTACCAGTTACCAGTAGACACTGCCTCAGCTGGGGGTGAGATTCAATGCCCATTGCCCCTCTCCAGCTGAGATTTTGTCCAATGAGCTTTTGCAGGCTGCCACAATTGCTGTGAGTTCATATAGGAAACGGCCCAGAAAGTTTCCTTGCAGTTACTCACTGACCCTGGCTCTTACGTTCTTTTCTTTCTGCCTCCTTTAATGATCCCTGCTGGGTCTTGGGAGGAGGAGGTATGAATCAGACATCCCACTTAGGCCTGAGCTTTCCTCAGTCTCCTATTCTCTGTGCTTTGGCTATCTGTGGGACCCTGTGTTAATAGAAGCTTCCCTTCTGAGAGTTGAGAGGTGAATTCATCTATGGGTTTAACAATAGGTCATTAGGAGTTGGTTTAAAACTCTGTCCATTTAGAAGTACTATGTTCCTACGATCTATGACCTGTCTAGCCATAGGTCTTGCCCTGATAATAGTGCCAGGTATGGAACTTAAATCCAAACAAAAAGTGGTTGGTTATTCCCATGATATTCCTGCCACTATTGCACAGTGGGCATGTTTTTCCAGGCTGGTCATGACTGTCGCTTACAGGGTTCACTGTTGGAGATTGCTTTTCTCCTCTGGTACCATTCATACATCATAGTCCATTGTTTGGCTATTTCTGTTGAGTGTTTCCTCCCACCGTTTTTATCAGCAATTTAAATGAACTAATTTTTGACACGTTTGTGCTAACTACTGTCCTTCTGTCTTTGTATATTTTTATCCCATTCTTGAGCAAAAGTTTTAAATTTTCATACAGTATAAGATGTGATATTGAGTACCCATCGCCATAGGTTTTGTGAGATCAGTACAATCTGATGACGTTTGGCAAATAGAACAATTACTTATCTATCACATTTCATGTCATTCACTAGTACCTTCTCACTAATGAAAAGGTACGTGCCACTAAACACATTACAAGGCTTTTGCGATGCTTAAATAAAATGAAGCATTTAAAATGATTCAGGGAGTATGCACACTGAAATCACTGTACAGAGGGGTGGTTCAGACTTGGCACTTCATTCTTAAAATTTTCTGTCCGGATCTGTTTTCGTTTTTTAAGATGTTATTTATAAACATACATACACACATACATACATATGTGTGTGTGTGTTTTGCTTACATGTATGTATATACATGCCTGCTGCCCTTGGAGGTCAGAAAGTACATCGGATCCTCTGAAGTTCCAGATGTTTGTGAGCCACAAAATGGAAACTCTGCAAGAGCAAACAAGTGCTCTTAACCTCCGAGCCCCCCAGATCTGGTATTTTAATGCCTAAAGTCAACTATGGGTTTTGTGAGGTCTTAAAACGTCAGCAAGAACACTGGAGTAAAAGGGGTGGAGAGCAAGCTCACTACCAAAATCAAAACTTCCTCTCAGTCCCACCCACAGGTCCCGCCTTAGCCCCCAGCCGCTGCAGGACTCCGCCCACGAGCCCCGCCCCTCTGCGGGCCAGCCCTCAGGTTCCAGTAAACCCCTTGCTGTCCCGGCCACCTTGCTGTGCTCTCTGCTGGGTCTCCACCCTCCTTCGGCTTCCTCAGCGACGTCGCCCGTGAGTGCATGACTTTTCCCAGCTCGGGAGTTGTGTGGCCCAGCCCGAGCCTGCATCCTCCCGGGGAGAGAATTAGGGCCCGCAGGCTTCGCGTCGCTCGGCCCGCCGGGCCTGGGAGCTGGAAGTGCTCCGCGGGCTTCCGGTGCCCACCCTGGGGTCTCCGCGGCCCAGTCGAGGCTCGGGGCTCGGGGTCAGCCTTGGGCCGCGGGCCCCGGGGCAGGGCAGGGTGGGGCGAAGGGTTACTTCTCCGAAATCGCAGCCCCGCTCAGCGGCAGAGATGGGTGAACCAGACGAACCGGTCGTGGGGGAACGATGGAGGAGAGGCTGCGTGGTGTGGGGAAAGGTGATACTGAATTTGTGCAAAACCAGGACTGCGTGAAGTTCTAGCAGGCCCTGCACCTGTACCGGCTTCCAAAACTCTGCCCCGTGCTTCGGGTTCACTGAAGGAGGAAGGGCAGTGGCATTTGTTTTTTAAAAAGTCAGAAACTTGACGGAGCAAAGTGACCATGACCGTTAGTGCTGGACCTAATGCACTTGACGGTGATCTTTAACTTTTGCTTCTTTCTGTTACCTGTTGGTGGCTGCCTCAGAATTATCAAATAGAGGGTATGGTGGGGTTAAAAATAGCGATGGACCGCAGGGATCCACAGCCACCGTGCTAGGCAGATTTTATATGTGTTAACTCACAGTTTAAATGGTACTATTATCTTTTTCATTCTTCAGGAAACTGGGATTGACTTAGTTTCGTAACCGTATGTGTGTCGAATGATAGCATTAAGTTGCGATCCAGGTCTGTATGGTTTTATGGCATATGATTTGCAAATGTAAACGAACACGATTTCATGAGAAGTTCTCTGCCTAGTTTCAAGAATGTTCTGAGGTGTGTCAAGTGTCTTAGGTTTTGGGTAGGATACATAACCCTTTACGGCGTGTTTCTGTATTTGTAATATAGGACACTGCCATGTTGTAGAGCTGTTGTGAGGATTGAGTAAAATATTTGTAAAGTATTCAGCAAAGTGTCTGATGTACAGATAATGATAAACATATATACCTCCCCATCTTGTTGTCAGCCAGTTATGTCCAAATAAAACCTGTTTAGGCCTAGAGTCTTAGCAGAGGGAGACAGCAAAGCTTAGGAAAAGGGAAGTGGGGAAAGATGGCACACGGTAGTAGTTGTAGTGATGCTAAGGTGGATTAACTGCTTTTCAGGGCCACTTTTTTGCCTTTGTGAGAATTCTTTACCACGGCAGTTCCTTTTGGCAACAGGAACCATGCAGAGGCTCTCTTACTGAGCCGAAACTGAATTTCTGACTTTGACAGATTAAAAGATGCCCGGCACAGAAACAGAATGAAGTATTCTCTTTTAAATCTCATCTGATCTAGCCTCAAAACCTGAGGTTCTAGAATTGGGGGAGCAGAAGAATTTATCGCCTCCAAAGGCATGTTGCTAATCGGACACATCTCTTCTAATTTTACTTAGAACTGTGAACATTTACAGACAGTGGTCTATAAAATAGCTACAGGTAAGAAAGCTAACAATTGCATACTATGTGATATTGTATGGAGCTCGTGATGTAGCTAGTGTAAGGGAACTTGTCTGGCAAGCTAGAGGCCTTGAGCTCAGTCCTCCAACATTGAAATAAACATGTAAAATTAAATAAAATATTTATTAACGTTCTTTACAATGGAATTCCTGATGTACTGTCTGCTTAGGCATCTAGTTCACATTGTTCCTGTCAATTCTTTGTGTGCTTTCTTACATTGTATTTCTCGCCATCTTCTGTTGCTGTTCCTGGATGTTATGTTATTGTTAAACTATCTCTTTTCTAAAAATTTCTTTTTTAATTTGTAAAATATTTGAGAACTCAAGAACAATGGCAATGGGTTTTTGATCCTACTGCACGCACTGGCTTTGTGGGAGCCTAGGCAGTTTGGATGCTCAACTTACTAGACCTGGATGGAGGTGGGGGTTCCTTGGACTTCCCACAGGACAGGGAACCCTGATTGCTTTTCGGGCTGGGGGGGAAACGTATTTGGGGGAGGGGGAGGGAAATGGGAGGTGGTGGCGGGGAAGGGACAGAAATCTTTAATAAATAAATAAATTAAAAAAAATTGTAAAATATTGTCTTATGAATTGGATGGCAGCCAAACCAAGAAAGAAAATGTTGCCTGTGGAAAATGATTTCATGATATCCTGACCTTTAAATATTCATAATGAGCCTCTATCCTGCATTAACGTGTGATCTCTGTGATGGACCTTTTAGTAAGAACCAATACTGTTGCTATTAGTTCTTGGGCTCTTGAGGAGTTCAAACCATTGCTGTCAAGTTCGTTCTGTTACCTCTATCTTGTAGTCTAACTTCCTTCTAGTGTTTTCCTTTACGTTCTTAAATTTGTCTTGTAGTACAGGTGTCCAGGTTAAAACGAAAATGAGTGAGGTAGAAGTCTTCTAAAAGATTTGTTAAGAGTTATCAAGAAAGAGTTTAAAATCACTTGTCTTAGATTCTACTTAATGTTAATCTTTTTATACTGATAACCAACTGAACTTATATGTACCTTTTGATAAGATTCTGATAACTCTGTTTAAACCATAGCTGTAGCTATGTTATATGCTGGTTTAAATGTATTTAAGAAGGCCGGTGTGGCGATACTGGGATTTATTTTTTCTTTTTCTTTTCTTTTTTTGGAGAGGCTTTTCAGGGTAGAGATAGATAGCTATAAGACAGTCTAACTAAATGGAGACATAAACTTTAAAAAGACATGAAAGTTAGTTGATATCGTGGTCACACTTAGTTTTTATTAGTTAGATGGTACATTAATAGTTTCTCTGTGAGAAAGAACTATTACTGAAACTATTATTAAGTAAACTATTATGAAATATCCTATGAAATAGGTGCATTATATCTAGTTCCTGTGAAAATCAGCACAGCAACAAGGTGAGTGCAGAGTTAAGTGTCATCACATCCCCTTAGTGTTTCCTTTTGGTTTGCACAGTTTGCTGTTTTTTCTTTCTTCCTTCCTTTTTTGGTTCTTTGAGATGGGGTTTCTTTGTCTAGCCTTGACTGTCCTCTGCCTCCCAAGTGCTAGGATTAAAAGCGAGTGCCACCCCTGCCCAATTTTTTCTTTTGTGCCCCCCCCCCTTTTCTTGGTGGTACTGGCATTGTAGACAAGAATGACCTTCACCTCCTGCCTCCAAAAACCTAGTGCTGGGTCCATGCAACCACACCCAAGTATTTCATTATTTTTGTAATGAAGCTTTTGTTTTACGTTTCCTCTAGATATTAAGGTGACAATCAGTATATGTTAAAATTCATATTTGGAAAGGAGTGGAAGTATTTGAAGAAAGGAAGGAAGGGAGGGAGGAAGGAAGGAAAGAAAACTGAGCAAAGCAAAAGGAAACACTAAGGAAGTTTTGCTGATTTTCACAGGAACTAGACATAATGCATCCTTTCATACATTTATGAAAATGAGTGAAAGCCCAGTTCCATCTGATTAGGGATCGTTTTTGAGTGCGGGGTGTTGAAATAGGAGCGACGGGGCTGAGTCCCTGGCACCCGGCCGCCCACATGGCTAGCTCTAGCTAATGCCCCGAAATAATTACACGGAAACTGTATTCTTTTAAACACCGCTTGGCCCATTATATCTAGCCTTTTCTCAGCTAACTCTCGCACCTGGGCTAGCCCATTTCTTATAATCTGTGTAGCCCACGAGCTGGCTTACCAGGAGTGATCTTAACCTGCGTCTGCCTGGAGTGGGAGAATCATGGGGACTCCTTGACTCAGTTTCTTTCTCCCAGCATTCTGTTCTGTTTACTCCGCCTACCTATGTTTTAACCTATGAGGGCCAGCCAAGCAGTTTCTTTATTACTTAACCAATGAAATCAACAGATTGATATATGACACTCCCCCATCAGCGGGGCAGAGTTCAAGACAGAGTTTCTTTGTGTAGATTTAGGTATTCTAGTACTTGCTTGTGGCTTGTTCTAGAAACTTGAGTTTGTGGCCCAGACAGACCTCAAACTCAGAGAATTCCTGTCTTCCTCCCAAGTGCTGAGAAAGGTGTGTCCTGACGTAGCTTCCTCAGCCACTGTTGGTGAAGATTTCTGTTCCGCCCAGTCCCACAGTGAATACACAGAAACTATATTATTTGCAATACTGTTTGACCAATAGCTTAAGCATATTTCTGGCTAACTCTTAGATGTTAAATTAACCCAGTTCTATTAATCTGTGTATTGCCACATAGCTGTGGCTTACTGGCAAGGTTCCCCGACAGTCTATATCTGACGGAGGCTATATGGCTTCTCCCTGACTCTGCCTGCTCTCTCTCTATATTTCTTTTCCAGCCTGGGTATATTCTGTTAAGCCATTGGCCGAAAGCAGCTTCTTTATTAACCAATAAAAGCAACACATATACAGAAGGACTTCCCACACCACACCACCAGGCTTGGAATCATATTTTTAAAAAAAAAGACGTGAGGGTCTGGAGAAATGGCTCAGTGGTTAAGAGCACTGACTGCTCTTCCAGAGGACCCGGGTTCAATTCCCAGCACCCACATGGCAGCTCACAACTGTCTGAAGATCCAGTTGCAGGGGATCTGACACCTTCACACCAATGCACATAAAATAAAGTTAAATAAACCATAAAAATATTTAAAAAAAATAAAAAATAAAATAAAAAAAAGATGTGAAATCTAAACAAATATTTTCTGATGGTATTGTCAAAGGAAGTTTGTAAACTATCTAAAAGGGCAGTGTACCTACAATATTTGTTTTTCTTTACTGCTCCTCGTTAGCATTTACTACCTGCTGTTAATTTTACAGATAAGATAAGATAGATAGCTTATCTTTCTCTATATAATGTAATCACCTTAGTAGAAGAGTCTGTTTTGGTCAGTGTTGGTTCCCCAACAACTCAGAATAGTGTACCTACTACACGGCAGGTGATCCTTAGGAATTTGATGAATGGGTATTGAATGAATAATAATGTTATTAAATATTAAT